CTCTATAAATGTCCTTTGCCTCCCCATTCTTCTTCTATTTCCTTTTACTTTCCTCTGTTCCACTATCATGTTTGGCCTTCATTCAGGTTTCAGTAATTCCTCTCAGCTATACTGCCCTTGATCAAGCCCCTCCAGGAATCCTATACCCTTGCCATTGATTTTAGATCATTTGTTATTCCCTTATCTCTGAATTTGTTGACACTCCCCTTTCTTTTCCCTGCCTCCCCCTCTCCCATGTCCTCCGCAACCATTGCTTCCCTTGTTTTCTCCTCCGGATTGTGTATCCCACCTATCTTATTTAAATAGATATATAGAGACAACAATATGCACAAAACAAGACAGAGCGAAACAACAAAAGAAAGTAGCAACAACAAAAACCAACGACAAAAAAATAAAAGCCTATATATCATTCCAGGTTCTGTTTGTTGACGCTTAGGAGTGCTTCCCAGTCGAGTCTGATGGGGTGTCACGTCCTGGCCCCAAAGTCTATTTTTGGTATTCCCCGGGGAATTCATTGCTCTGCTCCCCTTGCTGCTCTGTTGCACGCCCTTAGTGTGGTGGGATCAGATTGGGTACAATTCCCACACTGTGTCTCCAGTGTTGCCCCCCGTAGCACTATGGGTCAGTGAGGGATGCCGTGTCTCGTGGTGGACCGTCCCTATGGTCCTCTCTCTGCTTGGAGCGCTCTGAGCGGGACTGTCGTCCTCGGGGCTTGGTGGGCCAGGATGTGCTTCACTCTCTCTCCTTCCTCCTTCTCTTGCTCCCGTGCGCTCTGATCAGACACGCCCCTTTCCCTGAGCTGTAGCTTCAGTGCATTCTTCTGGGATGGGGGTGGGTCCACGTAGTTGGGATTGGGGCTGGCCCCGAAGACCTCTCTATTGGTTCCCTGCTTCATGCCAGTCCTCTGCCCATTTTTTAATTGGGTCATTCCTCTCTTTCTTGTTGAAATGTCGCAACTTTCTCTAGATTTTAGTGATTAGTCCCTTATCCAGCATATTATTGTCCAGTCTTGTTTGTATTTAATAAGCTGCATACTATTCTATCAAAGATACATATTTATAGAACAATCTATTTTCCTATTTGAGTTTAAGACAGTTTCACTTTGGGCCACAGGGTCTCTAGGTGGGGAATGCCTGCGCGTCTGGCAGCTGGGAAAGCTTTCTCCTAGTATAGTGCTCAGCACAACCAGAAGCCAGTCTTCCCGTCAGATTGCCACAGGATGACAGTGCTGGGCACACTGGGATCTGAGGGGCTGACGCCAGGTGGACGGCTGGAGCTCCTTTTTGCACTTTGCCAAGGAGACACTACGGTGTGAGAGGCCACGCTTAAAAGTTGTGTGTGTTTCCCTCCTCTTCAACAGCAGGCCCTTCACAAGGGAGCGGTCGTGACTCCGACGGTGACTCCAGTTCCGCTCAGAAAGCGGCCCTCAGTGGCTTCCACTCCAGCCAGCCAGCGTCGCTCCCCACGTCCATCTCAGGACACGGCAAGTCGGAGCATCTTGTGGCCAAAGCGGTCAGTCAGGTCCTCCACACACTCTGCAACCAAAATGAATGTCAGGTAAAGAAGGCGGCCAGTCCAAAGCCATTGCCAGTGTACTGCCTTTAGTAGTTTCCACGATGGGGTGAAAGGTCAGAAACAGAGTCGGTGAACAGTTTTCATCTTTTTCCTTAATGTTTGTATGCAGTTTTCCCTAAAGACACATTTGATAAAGAAATAAGATAACTGAAGGGACTTCAGAGGTTTATGGAGATACGGAATTTTTCCACAACCTTGTGTATGGCTAGTCTTCAATTTATAAGTTTAAGGTACATCTACAAAGTGCCTACCAAAATAAGTTTTGGTTTTTTTTTTTTAGTGGTTTAAATGTAGAACTGAAGCTCCAATCCTACAGAAACATCTTTCAGTACAGTGAGTTGGGAAGTTAAAGCTCCAATCTTATCATACCATGCTCACATCATCGTTACCACACGCCCTGTTGATCTGCCGCTCCTTTGCTGGCAGCAGGGTTGCCCCAACTGCCACTGTCTCCACAGATGGTCCTCAGGCTCCTTTCCTCTAACCCCCAAACCCATGTGCTCCTTTCTAAAGACATTTCGAGCATGGTGTCTCCTAACACTACCCCAAGATGTGCAAGCATCCCAGATAGCTTTGAAAACTTGAAAGCCCCCTTAAGGTCTGGAGTTCGGTTTGTTGAGTTCATTTAGCATAAGTAGGACGGATAAGTGGTACATGTGATTTTTATCGATTACTGGTTGAAGGACACCGTGGGCAAGGGCCGAGTCCTTATGGCTTCCCTACAATGCTTGCTCCAGAACCGATTGGCATGTGCAGTTCTACCATCTCTACTTTCCTGAACTCCAGAGGACTCAATCTGTGAGCGTTAGTCATTAGTGACTTATGAGTGTTGACTCAGGATCACCCTCAACTCTTGTTATAAATCCAGAAGTTACTTTCTATTAAACCCTCTCACCAATCTTATAGATATTCACCATCACAGGATTTTCATTGAGTATAAGACCTCATGGATTCAGATCTCACTGTCATTGTCTGAACCACTAAGGGAAGCATCGCCAGTTAACTGTGACCGACTGCAGAGCACTTCCCCCAACTTCAGGGCATCGCTGAAATGAATGCATTTCTGGCTGTTGACCATCAGTAGAGAATGGGCTAGTTCAGTGTTCCACCCAAATGAATGGCATTCTTTTGGGCAGGTGGCAGATTTGTTCCCACCAGTCAAGTGATATAGCAGCTGCCCATTCCCGATGACTGGCCAGCACCAAGGGGAGAGAAGGACGGGGAGTTTCTTGGAGTATTTACTAAGCTATAACTTGAGGTGGACAGGCATTCCCAGGGAGCCCTAGACTGTTAGTGGTCAAGCTGGGGAGAACAGAGGACACAGGGTCATATTCTACAAGCAATAGGAGTTGGTCAATGATCTGTTTTGAGAACACTGGTTCCATCAATGAAGTTCATTCATGCAACAACTATTTATTGAAGCCCTTTTACTGCTTGGTGATGGTCAAGGTCTGTGTGTCAACTTGGTACAAGTCCTCATGGCTTGGACTCTGCTGTCTGGTTTAGATTTTCAGCTGCCACTGAGGATAATGAGCATAAACGCTCACTGACCAAGACTCCAGCCAGAAAGTCTCCACACGTGACCATCTCTGGGAGTGCCCCAAAAGGCCCGGCTGAGCTCGGGACACGCACGGTGAAGACCTCCAAGGTGGATTCTGCTGCTGGTAAAACACTTCTGGTTCATTTGAAGCTATGTAACTTCTTGAAATTACTGTGTGCGTTTCCTTAAAGCCTCTCCTTATCTATAAAAGTAAAAGTTTTACTGTAACAGTTTATACAGGTAGGAGAAAGGTTAGAGACATAAGCCTGAAACAGAAATCTGCTTAAGGCAAGACCCCATCTTGTCCAAAAGGGGGTCTTTTTTTTTTTTTTTCTTTTTTAAACATTTTATTAGGGGCTCATACAACTGTTATCGCAATCCATACACACATCAATTGTGTAAAGCGCATTTGTACATCATTCTCAAAACATTTTCTCTCCACTTAAACCCCAAAAGGGGGTCTTAAGATGGCCTCCCGGATGAGCCCCTTCTAGGCCTCAGGGAGGAGGCGGGGGTGTACTAGCATTCCCTACAGCCTCTGAGTGGTCTCCAGGACTCGGCAAGAGGCCCAGACGACAGAGCTGAACAATGTAACGAACACCCAAACCAATCTTGTTGCCATTGGATCGATATTGACTCACAGTGACCCAAAATAGGGTTTCTAAGGCTGAATCTTTATGGGAGCAGGCGGCATCCATTTTTCTCCCATGCCGTGGCCTGGTGGGTTTGAACTGCCAGCAGCCTTGAGGTTAGCAAACCAGCATCTGATCCACAGTGCCACCCGGGCTCTTTGTAAACACTTTGAGACCTAGATTAGATCTAAATATGTCAAGATTCTTCTGAGGACGCTATTAAATGTGACAGAGTTAAGAGCCTTGAACACCGTAAAGTTTTCCAGATTCCTTCAGCCTGGAGGGATTCGGCAGGTAGGGGTCTCAGAGGAGAGGAGAGCACCGTTGCTGGGGTCATCTAAGACACCTGTCGCAGAGGCCCCCTTCGTGCCTGAGAGACTGCAGTAGGAAGGATTGGAAGCCTACACTTAGGTTTTCAGCTGCTACTGTAGATAATAAGTGCTCACTGACCAAGACTACGGCCAGAACGTTTCCACACGGGACCATCCCTGGGAGTAAACTTCAGGAGTCCCAACGGAGGGAGTTACACCTTTGTAAGATTCCTCCACGGTTGCTTTCTCTCATCCCCTCTATCCCTCAACCTTACACTGTAGCCGGGAAGCAAAGAGCTGGGGAAGGACGGTGCTAACTCACAGACAGTGGACTCGTCTCAGGCACGCCTGTCTTACGTGCACTGCCCTTTGCTGGGCAGCAACTGCCTGCTGTAGAACAGGAAGAGCTCACGGAGCTAACGTGTGGCCCATCCTGAGCCTTCTCTAAACAGTCTGGGGCTGTGCCCAGTTGTGTTGAGTTAGTTTTTGACTCCCATTCTTATATATGAATATATATTTTTTTAAAAATTTTTTTTATTTTAATAAATCATTTTATTGGGTGGGGGCTCTTTACAGCTCTTATAACAATCCATACATCAATTGTATCAAGCACATTTGTATATAGCTGTCTCCACATCATTTCCAAAACATTTTCTCTTTCTTTTAACATTTTCTTTCTATTTGAGTTCTTGGTTACATATGAATATTTTACAAACAAAATAAACCTCTATATTGTGTTTTCTATGCTTTGCTTCATTCACTCCTCATGCTTTGAGATTCATCACATTGATATATAAGTTGATCTACGTAGAGTGCATTGGTTTTCATGCTTATTCCTCAATGGTCTGAGTGCGTGTCAGAGTATTTATCCATTCCACTGCTCGTGGACATGGGTTTGCAACATCTGTTCACAGCTGTGAACTCTCCTGCATGTGCACAAGTCTCTCCAGACCTGGGAGCGGAGCTGCACAGTGGAAGGGGCTGCAGGCATTTAACGATGAGTTAAATATTTAACGACAGCCACAGCTGTTGTTCCACTCCCTGCTGACCTGTGATATGGACAGACAGGGTCAAGGGTCACACCCAAGGGTCACACAGGGGCTTGGTTGGGTTGGGTTGACTCTGGTAGCACTAGCTCCCAGCTGCCCATCCACGAGGAAAGGCAAGTGTTAACATTAACAGTGGCCTGAGTGCAACTGCATGGCTTCCCCATTGAAGGAAAATGATTTTAAATTAGATCAGATATTTAGTGCCCAACTCTAACAAAAAGGCTTACTAGCTCATACCATCCTGGCGTGTTTTGAGCTTTAAGGTATAAAAATTCACACTTGTAAATAATACAGACCTTTATTAGCAACAACCAAAGCTACAAATCCTCACCTGCATTCTGTGATAGGGTTTCTTGAAGGCTTTGGATCTGTTGGTGTTAATGAAAATATTATTAAGGATAATAGTTATAAAAGGGGTTGGGATAGTTAATAAAAGGGAAATGTCCTGAAAATAACCCAGGTTTTTCTTTTTATAAAGTTTTATTGACATAAGTCCTGTATCGCACAAGTCAGTGGTTTTTGTCAGTAAGATTCTAGGCTCCCGCGGCTCCCTAGGAAATAACATCCAGACTATCCAGGGAGCTTCTACCACGGGTTCCATTTCCTCCATCGCATTTCTCTCCCCCTTTTCACCTCTCACTTGTTTCAGACTGTTCAGATAGACTGAGCGGTGATACTTGGGTAAAAATGATTTGTAGCCAGTTTGTTTGTTTTTCCTAAAGAAGCACTTGGCTTGTTTCAGTTATGACCCCCTTCAAGCTGGCCACCGAGGCAATACAGACACCCGTGTCCAGCAGGAAGCCAGTGTTTGATCTCAAAGCCAGTTTGTCTCGACCCCTCAACTACGAGCCACACAAAGGTATGTGGGGGTGCTGAGGTGCGCAGCATGCAAAAGATGAAGAAAACAATGCTGTGCTTAGTGCAGGCCGTTCCTGATGCCCAGGAAGGCCTGTCCTGCTTCCACCAGAGGGACTGATGGTGCAGAGACTGGGTGTTGGGCAGCCACATGTTAAAAAATTAATTCATTTCTATTTGTCTTCATCCAAAGACTTAACTTTCACCACTATTACCATAAAGAATTATAACAGCTGTACCCAAATCAAGTGAGCCTGTGTGTGTGACCTCTTTTCAGCAAATGCAGGCTTTCTTCACAGCTTTGAAGTTCTCAAGTTAGCCCGTTGTCCCTCTTAGACTTAAATTACAGTGATGTTAGACACATTTCAAGTAGCAGCACCCAGTGTAATAGCACAGTGATTCTGGAATGACTCTTACAACCAAAACTTCCTAAAGGGTTCACTCCTGTCACAGTGCTTCTGCTTTAAATGGCTAGTTCATGAAACATGACTCTGAGTTGCTAGAAGAGTCAGCTAGCCTCTGATGAAAAGGACACTCTGCCGCCCACCCCTCCCACTCCTGCCTCCCAGTGCGGCAGCGGCACAGGCACCAGCCACCTCGTTGCTCAGGACAAAACCTAGGAGTCGTCCTTCCTCCTCCCATTCCTTCAGACCCCACATCCAGTGCTCATCCTTCACCTCCACCTCTGAAACAGATCTTTAACTGAACCACATTTCACCCGTTCTGTGACCCTCTGTGGTCCAGGTCACCATTCCCTCTTACCTGAGCTTCCAGAATAGCCTCCGTGTCCCACCACAGCAATATAAAAACACACTGAGCAATGTCACTGCCTTGATCAGAACCGCCAAGGATCTCCATGTCTTTTCTCCCAAGTGCATTTCATTGCTTTCCTTCCATATGTTCTACCCAGCAGGGCATTGTACCAAACCCACCAAGCTCTCCCCCCTCTGCAGCTTTGAAATCCCTGACCCTTCTACTCCTCAATACCCTCCCTTCCACACACCATTGTATGGCTTGTTTCCCTCCGGCTCTGTTACCAGCAGACAACCCTTCCAACATCATGTTTGTTTTACATTTCAAGCACTTGGCACTACCTAGCCTTATGATAATGTTCCCTCATGCTACCACTGAAGTAGAAGCCCAAGAAGGCAGGGAGGTCTGCTCCCTCGGTGGCCTGCTGTGTCCCCGGCCTCCACAGCAGCACGTGGCGCACGCAATGGTAACGGATGACTGAGCACCACACGTCTACTGCTGTTAGAACAGCTGCGTAAAAAGCTTCAACAGTGCTGCTTACTCCTGTGTACTGGACTTCGTTTACCTCCAGTTCATGGGAAAGACAGTAGTACTAACTTCAAAGTTACTGAAAGGATCAAATAACATGATAAAATGAAAATCATTACAAAGAGAAATCACTAGTCTATGAAAACATCCTAAACTGTATTAAAATTTTAAAATACCCAGAATTATTTGGTCCCAGGTCATAAAACCATCAATCATTCCTACTTTTATCACATGTCAAATGTAGTAACATTAACAGTAATGGTGAACTATACCAATAGCAATAATTTAATATTAAACATACTGTATTTACAATCTCATGATAATGTTCTTGGTTGTGTGTAGATGGTGTATTATTAAACCTTTTCTGTGACTTGTTAGAGATTTGAAAAAGAACAGCATGGTGTTTATAAAATATCATTTATATCTGTAAAATGTGAAATTGAACTAAGTAGCCAAGTACACTGCAAATGTCTATACATGTTGCTGCACAGATGAAAATATACGGTTGGAGCATAAACACAGATTCTTCTTAAATCTCTCGATCTTGATCCCAAACTAGGAAAGCTGAAGCCATGGGGACAAACTAAAGAAAATACTTCTCTGAGTGAACCTGTGAGCAGAGTGAGCTTCTATAAGAAAACTTATAAACAACCTCATCTCCAGACCAGGTGAATAGGCAATGATCTTTGTCTAATTCTTTTCGTTTTGAAAGGCTGTACAGGAGACCTTAAACAAATTTGTGGAAAAATGAGATTATTTTTCCCACCAAATCTGTAAGTACCTACATAGCTAAAAGCAGACCCCGTGAGGAACAATCTCAGTCATAGTAGTGCTTAACAAGCGACTAGAAGTGGAGTCAGGGGTTTGCTAAGTACCCAGGCCCACCACCATGGAGAGAGGTCAGTGGGTTAGAGTGGGGCCCTAATCTCCAAAGTTTCATCTGGTTTCCAAAGCTCCCTGGGTATTTCAGAGTGCCAGATTCAGAGCGTTGCTTATGCATGACTCATCTGCATGAAAAACACAAAAACACTTAATTTCCCTCTCCAACACCATGTTCAAGTGCCCAGGGTACCTTGGCACTTCTCTCTCCTACGCCAATCCCCCAGCCCAGGGGGGTGAAAAAGTGGACATTGTCACTTTTGGCACATGGTGCTCCCATGTGTGTCAGGAGAACTGGGCACCTTGTTGTTTCGGTGGCTTTCCTCCCAACACCTCCGGATGGACTCTAGGATCGGGTTGTTGCCGAGGCTGTCAGAGCAACGCATCAGAGTCCGGCGATGGCATCAACGGGGAGGCCCGTTAAGGACGGTTGTTCGAGAGGTGTGGTGGTTACGCAGCGCTCGTGCTGCTCGTTTTCCACGGAGATGAAGGTTCCGGGAGGACACTCACTCGTGTCTTCCATTTGCTTCACTTTCATTTTACAAATTCACATCCATTCTGGTTTCACTTCGCTGGCCCTGACTGGACAGGAAGAACCCTATCAAAGCCCTTTCCTACACCAGGGAAGGTCCCGGGATGGTTCAGAAGCTTCGGCCAGCCTGAAAACCAAATTAAAGCCATAGCTAGTTTGGGTCTGCAGCTGGTTCAGGTCAAGTCCAGAACCTTCCTAACATGGGATCACTTGTCATTTGATTTGCATATTGTCATCAAGACAACTTTACAATTGGATTTCTTATTAACAGAACTGTATCTTGGTGTTTTATTTTTGTTTATTTTGGGGCTTTTTTTGGTGTGTGTGTAGGGAGGAGGGGGACTGGGGATGGGCAAAGTCTCCTGTAGGAAAACAAAACGTACTAACTTTTGAGTCAGTAGACCCTGATTCTAGTTCTAGAACGTTCACTAAAATACTGGGATTTTTGAGGTTGACCTCTGAGAATTCTAGTTTGAAACCAACAGAGAAGTCCAGGGGTGGGATTCACTTGTCAGAGTGCCTCTGGTTCCAACGCCATGCTTGATTTTAAAATACCAAATGACCACAAAAAGGAGACTCCCCATTTGTAGCCCTTTACCGCAGCGCTGGCTTCCAGGGAGCCCAGGGCCGAGCACACAAGTCTGCTCTACACACAAGTGCTGCTGGCACTCTCAGCCTGACAGTCGTGTGCAGAGGTCCGCCGTGGTGCTGCACCAGAGCCTAACTGTGACTTTCCCTCACAGGGAAGAGCAGCGGAAGAAACACGAGCAAGAGCGACGGGAGAAGAAAGCAAAGGTTTTGGGAGCTCGAAGAGGCCTCACTGTAGTGGCAGTGTAATAATTTCTTAACACTCTGTAAATATTCTGTTACTCTGGACCTTCCCCCCCGCCCTTCTGTAAATAGTTTTATGCTGTCTTCCTCATTTTCTTTCATCAAAAGACCTTCTTTACTCTGAACTATTTTCATATGTAGTGTCTGTGGCCGCTTCATCGATTGCCTCTCTGGGGGGAAAGTATCCCCACGGAGCTGAAGGTAGCGGGCTGAGAAGAGAGAGAAGCTGGGAGAGGAATGGCATGCCTTCAAGGCCTGGTACAGAAAATCCACTGATCTTAATAAAATATGGGCCATCAGCTTTGGGTATTTCATCGATATTCTATCTATGTATCGATGTTTTGTTTATACTTATAAGCAGCTTTGTTAGGGTCATTGCATGTAACTTCCACCTGTCACTCATTATATTCTTAAAAACAAAACTTTAGTTCATTCTAGCTTTGCTTACTTAAAAATAAAAGGTACAGTCACCTGGAAATTTAAGGATTGCTTCTTAAAAGATTGCTGTGTCCTGTCAGGCTAGCACCTTATGGAATATTTAGAAAGGATCAGATTTGCTGAGCATCATAACCATCTTTGTTGTACTTTAGTGGAGCTGTAGAATTTTGTACTGCCTAAGATTTTCATAAATAAATGTTGTTCTCATTCTGGTAGGTCAATTCTGTGTAAGCGCCAACCAGCTAGAGGACCGAGAGTTTACCTTTACCCTTCATGCATCTTTCCCTGGCCACCCCTCCCAGTCCAAAAAGAGTGAGCTCGGGGATCCCACCACACTGTCAGATTTCTTGAGATTTACTGTACTTATTGATACTTAGTGATAGATTCGGATTTCCCTGGCAAGCGGAGAGGTCAGTTCAATCAGTAACCTCTGACTAACTGTCAAACACACTCCCATGAAAAGCAATTGGAGGCATCACCTCTGCGTCAGTACTGGCATTCTCTAAGGCACAGGCCAGAGCTTGCTTTCGAGCAGTTTCCCTGCTCAGCCCTCTTCGCAACCAGCTTGAGCCTGGCCTCAGAGGACAGATAGATACCAGTCGCTGGTTAGATGGCACTAAAGGACACTTTTATTTCACCGGTCACCAGAGGCTATTATCCTTAGTTTAATAACGCAAAACTGCCACTTGATCTTTATCTAAAAAGTCGTGGGTTAAGAGCTGGAGAATTTTCATAGGCAAATTCTTCTGTATGTGCTGGGTCAGTAAACACTCCAATAAAGTCTATTTCCAGGAAGAATGGGCCATCCACTTTGTCAGCCAAGGTGAGTCCTATAGATGAGATCTAAATTTAAAAATAAATAAGTTTATTAAAAGCTCATATATTCAAGAAAAATGTAGAGCAAAATCATAAAAAGGCCAGTCAAACAGAACCGGTGGAACCCCAAGCCTATAGGCCTCAGTTCTTCAGGCCTGGAAATGAACTCCCCCCGTGTGGCTCGTTTTCAGCTAATCAAAAGCCAGGCATTTATGGGGAACAATAACATGAGAGATGCCCTCCTTCGAAATCATCAACCATTTGAGATCAAAAGGGCAAGGTTTACTCAAGGACAAAGTTCAACAGGGTTAGGATAGGAGGAGGAACGGGAACAACACACAGGAGAGGAGTTACATGATGTGATATTGTAGGGACAGCAATCAATCATGAGACAAAAAGGTGTGTGGCCTGGGAACTCGGAATTAAACCCAGCCACCAATGAACAGTTTATTTTCAACAAGGGCTCAAAATTTATTCAGCAGGGCTGAAATAGTCTAATGAATGCTGCTAGCAAGACTGCATACCTGCTGAAAAGTCAGATCGAACCCATACTTCACACTATATCCCAAAAGTAAATGGATCGAAGACTTTAACATAATCTAAAACCATAAAATTCCTGGAGGAAAACTACGGGACTTCATCTTTTCTAAAGTATAGGAGTAAGAAACATACAAATGCAAGACAAACTAGATAAATTGGACCTCATTAAAATAAAAATGTACATACCCAAAGACTATTAAAAGTAAACAGATAGGCTATACGTCGACTATAATGTTCGACGTATTAACAGAAACGTGGATGAAGGGAGACTGGACGGTGTAAGATATGAAAATAATTTATCAGGGATACATGAGGGTGAGGGAGGGAAGGAAAAAAGGAGCTGATACCAAGGGCTCAAGCAGAAGGAAAATGTTTTGGAAATGATGATGGCAACATGTACAAACATGCTCGACACAATGGATGTATCGATTTATATTAAAAGAGTTGTAAGAGCCCCCAATAAAATGATTGATTAATAATTTAAAGTAAACAGATACCTATAGAATGTTCAGAAGATCATGGGAAATGACTTATCTAATAAGGGACAAGTTGGGCTGCGATCCACAAGGCCTGCGGTTCAAAACCACCAGGTGCGCTCCGCGGAGAAAGATGGGCTTCCTATTCCCATAGAGCTACAGTGTCAGAAACCCGCAGGGCAGTTCTACCCTGCCCTACAGGGCTGCCAGGAGTCAGCATCAACTCAATGGTGGTGAGAATCTAAAATCCATAGAAAACTACAACCGGTTAACAACAAAAAGAAAACCCAACCATAAAATGGACAAAGGACACAAACAGAACCTTCCCCAAAGATAACACCAAGTATATGAAAACATGTTTCCGATCATTAGCCATTAAACCAAAACCAAGCCCGCTGCCACTGAGTCAATTATAAATCAGCAAGCTTAAGAGAAGCCATCAGAACTCAGACCCCATTGTACCCTGGCCAAAATGACAACCGTGAGCAAAGGAGATCACAAATGGTGAGGATGTAGGGAGATTGGAACCTTTATCCATTGTTGGTGAGGCTGTAAAACAGAACAACAGCTACGGAAAATAGTATGGCACTCAGACTAAAAGTCGAACCATCCTACGACCCAGCAGCCCCATGCCTAGATGTAGATGTCAAACCAAACCAGTCCAGTGCTGCTGAGTCCACGCCAACCCAGAGCAACCCCACAGAGCAGGGACGGGGGACATCCGGCTCGCAGATGCTAGAAGGCTGCAAAGTGGTCAATGCCAACTAACCGCCCACGCCTCACCAAAGAGAAGCAGGTCCAGCCATCAACATTAACTGTTTGGCCAGTACAGCCAGCATTCGGTGTCATAAATCTCCCCTTGACAGATACAAGGTTCCCCGCACCTGCTATATAGGGTTTCTGAGACTAAGTTTTCCCTGGAGCAGACAGCCTAACCTTTCTCCTGAGGAACAGCTGGTGGATGTGAACTGCCCTGCAGTCAGCAGCCCCACACACCTAACCCACAGCACCACTGAGGTGCCCTGGTCTATGACTCAGAGACCTCAAAATGACCCCAGCAGACCATGTGCTCACGTCCACTGCGCCATTACTCACAACAGCAAATACATGGAAACAACTGAGGTGTCCATCAATGAATGAATGGATAAGCAATTTGTGGTACATTTATGAAATGGGAAACGTTACAGCTATGAAAAACCATGAAGTTTGTGAAACGTTACAACCTGGAGGACATACTGCTAAGTACAATAAGTAAGTCAAGCATATGAGGACAAATACTGTATACAGTGAACCCTCGTTTATCGCGGTTAATCGGTTCTAGACCCTACCGTGATAAATGAAATTCCGCGAAGTAGGATTCCTTATTTGTAAATCAAATATTTTCGTAGTTAGAGCATAGAGGACATGAAAAAACACCCTTTAGTCACCATTACACTCGCAAACAATTACAGTACACTGGACAAAAGCAAAAATGCATCTGATACGTAGCTCCGATACGTAGCGATGCAGACAGAAGCGGGTACAGTATGAGCCAATCAGTGGCAGTAATGACAGAGCATGCACTGTTACGCAAAAACCGCGATAGAGTGAAGCCGCGGAAGTCGAAGCGCGAAGTGGCGAGGGTTCACTGTACTTCTATTTTATAAAAAGACAAGGATAGATAAAAGAGAGACCAACGTTCCTTGGTGCTACTGGAGGCGGGGTAAGGGAAGGAGAGAAGAATCTGGGGAGCCCAGGAAAAAGTGGGAAGAGTCCTGTTTCACTGAGGGAATTACAACTGCACCCAACAAACTGTGCATCCGTGGTTGAATGTGAAACAAATGCCCTGACCTTTTCACCCAAAACACAATAAAATGTTAAGAAGGACTGAACGCTCCCTCGTAGGAGTTGAGTTTCATTCAAGGTCATACAGTTCCTGAGTGGAAAGTACAGGAAAATACTACCTTATCAAGCAGAAGCTGGAACTGGGCATCGCGGATTCTCCCTTGATTGGAGAAGAAAAACTTGGAGAAAGGGATCTGAAAGAAGAAAGCGCTTACGTCACAGCGGAAGCATCTGTACGGCGTCCGGACGACAAAAGGACAGTGGTTTAAATGCTGTCATTTAATACTTGCACTTAGAACATGTGGCTAGCCATTTGAATCAAAAGTAAAATGTAAAATAATGAAATCATAAACGCGAGAGAAAAACATGGAAGTCTTTGCAGCCACAAGTCCCAACGGGAACGAACAGAAAGTAAAGCTTCCTGGCAGCAAAAGACAAAGGATAGACTAACATAGGGGAAAAATTTCTATCTTTATGAACAAGACACCAAAAGCTCACAAATTGCTGGCAGAGTTAAACCCAATAGAAAATGAGCAAATACCCAAAAAAAGGAAATAAAAGTTACTAAGGATTAAAAAATGCTTTATGCCCACCTAATTAAGGACATGCCACTTAAAATCATTGCAATGCCATTTTTTACCTATCCTCTTTGCCATCCCCGAAGAACGCCAGGTCCCGAACCAGCTTTACTGTGTAGCATGGGGAAAAGGGAGGCTTTCTTTTACGTTTAGTGACTGCAAACCTTCCGGAGCAGAAGAAGGGACCCCGATTCTGACTCCACTCCCTGAGTGATCTCTTCCTTTGCCTCTGGGTAACACTCAAAGCTGCTGCTGCTTATTTAGAAAATACGATGTCTTGCATTATCGAGAAATCACTCCACGTTGATGACTGCGAGACTGACGGGGTATTCGTTTCAGCACCTTTCTACTGAGCTGGGGACGTGACTTGGGTCCAGTTGCCTGGAAGAGGCAACCAAAGAAGCAGCTACTTTGGCGCCAGGCAGAGGTGGACCGGTGATGCAGCACGGAACTGGCTGCTGTCCTCATCAAAAGATGTTCCAGTTAATGAACTGACGTGAATAGTAACTAAAGACCCGTTGCAACTGAAGTTTCTAGACTATATCATTAATAAGTAGTGATGAAAATATGAAAGAAAAAGTTATTCGTGTGAACTTTTCCTCTAAGTCCTTTTCCTCCTCTGCTCTTCCCCACACTTGCAAGAAGAATGAGTAGTGAAAACTACAATGTTACCGTGACCTTGGAAGACCTTGTTTTCATAATAGTAAAGCGGTACCAGTACCTTGACCTCCTGCCAATAGGGCCCTCCACGAGTGAACATGAAGTAACTGTACATCTGATTGTGCTTCTGGATTATATCTGTGTCCTCCCTGAGATTCACCATCCATGGCCGACCATCCCCACGCACTCGGAGGTACAGTGTGTTGAATTGCGACCAATCATAAGATTTCTTCCTCTCAAATGAGCCCTGAGGTAGATGGGAAGGAAAGGTCATTTGACTCCGTTAGTAGGCTGGTGGCGCAGTGGGGGTTACACACTGGGCTGCTAGCCCACAGGGTCAGCAGTGTGGAAATTACCAGCTGCTCTGTAAGAAAAAGGATCCTGTGAAACGCCTAAAACCCACGGCGGCAGGCTTGCTGTAAGTCGGCATCAGCTTAAGGGCAGCAAGGGAGAGAGAAACATGGTCTTGCCGAGTCAGCGTCCCCAAAGAAATGCCTTACTCACCTGGGTCCTACAAATGGCTTCTCAGTGGCTCATTTTGTGACGCACACACACCCATGCCATACACGAGAAACTATAAAAAATAGAGCTCAAGTTTTGAACTTAATAACAACTCACTGCCAGCCAGACAATGCCAACTCAGCCACCCTCCAGGACAGGGGTTGGTTTCCAAGACTAACTCTTTACCGGAGTAAAAAGCCCTGTCTTTCTCCTTTGGAGCAGCTGATGGTATCGAACTACAAACCTTGCAGTTAGCAGCCCAATGTATAACCACTACGCCGCTGTGGCTCCTTAATAACAGCTCCCGTGAATTGCTTACATCGGCCGTGTACACGCATCATTCCACTTAGTCCTACCAGTAAGCCTAGGAGACGGGCACTACCACTGATGAAGAAACCGCCCTCAGATCACAAGCTCTTGAACTCCCAGATCCATGTTCTGAACTGTCTATCTCTTCAGGAGTGGAATTCCGCATGAATTTCTAAGCTGTTTATCTATAGTCCTCTCAGAAGCAATCTTCGAGATTATTAGTGCTCATGTATGAAGGAATATGTACTAGCTATGTAACTTTGGACAAAAGCTACTTCTCCCAGGAGTTCATTTTCCTCAGCTGCAAAATTGGGCACATCACACCACACATGATCATTGTGGGAATAAAAAAGACCATGTGTTTTGTGCCTGGCTTAAGGATCAGTTGGTGCACTTAATCAATCGATAATAAAATGAATCATTTCATTATTACGAAGGGGTGTCTGCCAGTCTATGGATTCTCAGGGGCCTGAACACACTGCCTAGTCGGTGTTGTCTGGTACCTCTGCAGGGGCACACACTCGGCTTCTTTCGTTACTGTGTGGAGAGGGAAAGGCTTACCGGTCTGGACACTGGCCTTTCTCCTTACGTACAATATGCAAGCAGCATCCCGGGGCTATGGTAAGGCCCGGCGGAGGAACCAGGCATGGGGACAGTCCACAAGCTAACCTGTAACCACGCCAAGCCAACTCTGGCCATTAGAGGGGCTGTGGTGTACGTCACAGGAGAGGGCAGTCTCCGGAGCTCACCTCTCCAAGAAGGGCCTGCCCTGGTCAAAGGGGTGCCCAGAAGCAAGTTAGCTCTGCTCAACACCATGCCCCTCTGATTTCATTTCACTGCTGTGCTCAGTCACAGCACACACACGTGCCAGATGCTCTCGCGTACGTAAACAAAAGCCGCTAGCTAGAGTTCATACTGCCGTGAAGGGCACCCAGCTCATGAGAGAACGGTGGCTGCCAAGCCTTACCTACCCTGGGAACCCTGGAGATCATCGCACAGTACCCGCTGTGGCCACTGTCCCCGTCCAGAGGGGCCTCGGAGCTCAGATTTCCATACAGCAGCGCACTCTGGTTATTCTTGCCCATTTTTAAGAAGACTTCACTTCTGCCTCCAATCGTCTTATCAGATGTCACCACCCACTTATCCAAGTCTTCTTTTCCACGAAACTGCCAGACCACCTTAGCTTGTTCCAGCATGACTTCATGCAGAGGGCGCCCTTCGGGGCCTATCCAATGATTCACAAATTCATCCTTCAGGCGCCTGAAGTGGTCCTTGATTTCATCTCGAATTGCTTTATCAAAACTCACTTCAGGCTTCTCGTCAGGAGAAGGTATGTCCAAGGCAGCTTCTCTCCGGTGAGGGCTTTGCAAATCCCTTCCCGACTTCCCCTGAGGATCAAGCGCTTTGTTGGGAGCAGCCGCTGTCTTCTGAAGACTACTGGAGCAGTAGCCTGCAAAGCGAGGACCCAGGAATAGGCAGGAGATGGCACTTGGCATCTGGCATTTTCCAAGACCGTGAATGCCAGTCAGCAGCTTGGGAGCCAAAGCCATGGTGAAGCATCGGCTGACAGTGCGGTGCCCCTGCAACAGAGGAGACATCGAAAGGGTCACTCGGGTAGCAAGGACTGAGTCACAATTTCAGAGTCAACTCAGATCAGATATTGGGAAGTTCTCCAATTTCTTTTCCAAACCTATCAACACTTACCCAGTGCCTATTATGAGCAAAGCATCGCATAGACTGCACTGTGAATGGTACCACGAGGAAGAAAAACGCACACCCTGTGTGCAGGAGCCCGACTGGCGGCACTGTTGGGTGAACGTTGGACTGCAAGCCTCGAGAGGAACGGCTCCCAGCCAGAGATGACTGTAAACCTGATTGCGGTGGGCCGAACCACAGATAACATGATACTTGGTCAGTTGACTCTCCCTCTTGACCCAACCTGAATTTGCTCTAGGCTGACGTATTCTCATCTGTTCCAACACAGAAATGTCTTCTCTGGACTGTTCTCTGTTACACTTTATTTGTATTTTTATCTTTATATTACTGTTATTTTCTTCTTGGTTTTCTTATTATTTCTGTTGGTTTTACCAGTTTGTGAAGCACAAAGTGGATGCACAGAGACAATAACTGATGCAACAGAGAATCAGGGAGGGGGGGAGGGGATTTTGAGAGCAAACAATGCATGCAGGAGTGGGGAGGGAGCACTAGAACGGATTGTGATGATGCAGATACAACTACTTTTTTTCCAAAAAATCATTTTATTGGGGACTCTTACAACTCTTAAAACAATCCATGCCATTATTGTGTCGAGCACCTTTGTACATATGTCCCCATTATCCATTTCAAAACATTTTCTTTCTACTTGAGCCCTTGGTATCAGCTCATTTTTTTCCTCCCTCCCTACCCTTGATACAACTTTTTTTTAAGTTAATCGTTTTATTGGGGGCTCATACAACTCTTATCACCATCCATACACACATCAATGTGTAAAGCACATTTGTACATTCATTGCCCTCATCATTCTCAAAACATTTCCTCTCCACTTAAGCCCCTGGCATTAGGTCCTCATTTTTCCCCTCTTTCCCTGCTCCCCACTCCCTCATGAGCTCTTGATAATTTATAAATTATTATTTTGTCATATCTTGCCCTGTCCGACGTCTCCCTTCACCCACTTTTCTGTTGTCCGTCCCCCAGGGAGGAGGTCACATGTAGTTCCTTGTAATCACTTCCCTCTTTCCAACCCACTCTCTCACCACCCTCCCAGTATCGCCACTCACACCACTGGTCCTGAAGGGATCATCAGCCCTGGATTCCCTGGATTTCCAGTTCCTATCTATACCAGTGTACATCCTCTGGTCTAGCCAGACTTGCAAGGTAGAATTCGGATCATGATAGTGGGGGCGGGGAGGAAGCATTTAGGAACTAGAGGAAAGTTGTTCGATACAACTCTTTTTAAAAGCATTTTAACAATGGAAGTGTTGATATGTGAGTACTATATCAAGAACACTACTAACAGGAAAACAGAAACCAAACTTGACCAGTGGTTACCATGGGTGAAGGAGGAAGAGTTGTAGCTTAGGGTCATTGAGTTTATGTGGATGGTGGTAGAATAATTTGGAAAAGGGTATCAATAATGGCCATACAACACAAAGTACAATCAATGGCACTAAATTATACATGTAAGAGTTGTTGAATTGGAGAATGTTTTGTTGTGTATATTTTTGCCACAATTAGAAAAAAAATTACGTGAAGAAAGTGTTCTAGATTTAATATGGCAATAATTGCACAACCCTTGTTGATAGGACTGAATTACTGAATTGTATGACATCTGAATAAAGTGCTAATAAAACTGTTAAATAAAAAACTCCCTGGGTGAACGTGGTGCCATCTGCCTTCACCGAGCTCTGCAGCCTCAGAAAGCCCAGAGAAGGGGCAGTGATTGGTGCTGAAATCTAACTCAGGAGGCTGGATCAACTTTAAAGCAATTTTTATGCTGCATTTTTTAAGGAAATGGTAATCCTTAAAATAGATAGTCCACTCACGGTAGGACAAAGGTCCGTGGACTTAATACTTTAGCACTTCAGCTATATACAGAGGGGCGACAGTGCATGCCGTCAGAAAACGGGCTTGATGCACATTAGGCTGAGCCGATTGTAAAATGTTGGTGATCTCATGTGGCAAAGCCTAAGAAAACAGTTTACCCTCAGGTACAAGGCGCTCTGGGAACACATGGTTAAGTGTAAGTGCTTGGCTGCTAACCCAAAGGTCTATGGTTCAAGCCTACCCTGTGGCTCTGTGGGAGAAAGCCCTTGTAGCTGCTTCTGTCAAGAGGACAAGCAAGAAAGCCGGCCTGATGGGGAAGTTCCAGTGTCATGTGGGGTTGCTGGGTCGGGATTGACTCTCACAGCACCCAAGAGCAACAACCCTTGTGTCAATCAACTGATCTTTAAAAAAAATTAGTTTTACTGAGCTATAATGAACTCATCATACAATTCAATGGTTCAGTGGTGTTAAGAAGGGTATGCGTTCATTACCACAATCAACTTTGGAGCATTTTCTTCCTTCTTGCCGCCCTTGGGTGTTCAGCTGGCTTTCTGAGGCCCCCTGTGGGAGCAACATTGCTAACGTTCCATCCTGCCACTGGCCAGGGCTCCCTCCCACCTCCATGTTGTGAGGTGCCCTTGTCAAGGCCACCCCATGCACAAAGGAGGCATGTGCGCCCGCATCATTCTTATGATCAGTTTCGGACTGGACCATTTTAATCCGTGTGATTTTTATGAGCTGATTTTCAGAAGTATATCACCAGATCTCCCTGCCTAGTCCGTCTTAGTCTGAAGTACCGTTGAAACCTCCTTAGCATCCTTGCAACACACAAGCTGCCACTGCCACGGGATGACGGCTGTGCATAAGGTGCATAGGCTGGGAATCGACTCAGGTCTCCAGCATGGAAGATTTTTCGTCCAAATCACCAAAGCCTCTTAACTTCTGTACTCTAAATAAGAGAGTATGTTTTATCTCTGGCAGAAACATTGAGTGACGGTGGGCAGGAAATGCTGCCAAAACCAGCTTCCTCCTCCCTATTCCAGAAAATACCCTTAGAAAGATATAAAATATGCAGCCTTTCAACCCCGAAGACCAAGGTGGTGTGTGTGTAGAGCCAGGAGGTGGGGAGGGGGGGCAAGCAGTGAACCCACAGATTAGAACATGGTGCTGAGACACTACAAATAAAAAGTTTTTAAAATCTTAAAATGTCAATAAAGTAAAAATCCAACTCTACCACCTGGCTGCCTCAGAGTTCAAACAAAATGCTGTGTGTCCCACCCCCATCATGCATCTCTAAGACAGGTCTTGTCCTCTTTCCAAAATGCCTCTTCCCTCACTCCCCACATCAGGGAACTCACAAGCCTCTCTCCTAGATCACGGCTTCCAGGTTTGCAGATGATACCTAAGCCCGTACACCGATAACCTCCCAGCATCGGTTTGCTCTTCCAAAAACCAAACTCACTGCCATCAAGTCCATGCTGACTCATAGCGACCCCCTGTGGGTTTCCCAGACTGTAACTGTTTACAGGAGTAGAAAGCCCAGTCCTTACCCTGCCTGTCTGCTGTTGAGTGCCTTTTTTTAAAAGACTTATGAAATATTTTATTTAGTATGTTTGGATTTTTAAAAAATCATTTTATTAGGGGCTCATACAACTCTTATCACAATCCATACACACATCAATTGTGTAAAGCGCATTTGTACATTCATTGCCCTCATCATTCTCAAAACATTTCCTCTCCACTTAAACCCCCGGCATTAGGTCCTCATTTTCCCCTCCCTTCCCGCTACCCCCTCCCTCATGAGCCCTTGATAGTTTATAAATTGTTATTTTGTCATATCTTGCCCTGTCCAACGTCTACCTTCACCCACTTTTCTGTTGTCCGTCCCCCAGGGAGGAGGTCACATGTAGTTCCTTGTAATCGGTTCTCTCTTTCCTACCCACTCTCCCTCTACCCTCCCTGTTTCACCACTCACACCACTGGTCCTGTAGGGCTCATCCGCCCAGAATTCCCTGTATTTTCAGTTCCTATCTCTACCAGTGTACATCCTCTGGTCTAGCCAGACTTGCAAGGTCGAATTCGAGTCATGTGGGAGCGGGGAGGAAACATTTAGGAACTAGAGGAAAGTTGTATTTTTCATCGTTGTTACATCGCACCCTGAGTGGCTCATCTCCTCCCCGAGACCCCTCTGCAAGGGGATCTCCAGTGGCCTACTCATGGGCTTTGGGTCTCCACTCCGCACTCCCCCCATCATTCACTATGGTAAGATTTTTTGTTCTGATGAACCCTTCGACACCTCGTGGTTGCATAGGCTGGTGTGCTTCTTCCATGGGGCTTTGTTGCTTCTGAGCTAGATGGCCGCTTGATTACCTTCAAGCCTTTAAGATCCCAGACGCTACACTTTTTGATAGCCAGGTACCATCAGCTTTCTTCGCCACATTTGCTCATGCACCCATTTGTCTTCAGTGATCCGTTCGACACCTTGTGATCACACAGACTGATATGTTGTTCCATGTGGGCTTTGTTGCTTCTGAGCTAGATGGCCGCTTGTTTACCTTCAAGCTTTTAAGACCCCAGACGCTATATCTTTTGATAGCTGGGCACCATCAGCTTTCTTCACCACATTTGCTTATTCACCCGCTTTGTCTTCAGTGGTTGTGTGGGGAAGGTGAGCATCATAGAATGCCAATTTAATAGAAGAAAGTATTCTTGCATTGAGGGAGTACTTGAGTGCCTTCCACTCAATTCTAACGAATAAAGACCCCAGGGGACAGATTAAAACTGACCCATGGAGTTTCATAGGCAGCAATAATCTTTAAGGGTGTACATCACCAGGTCTTTTCTCCCTCCAAGTGGCTGGTGGGTTTGAACCATGGACCTTTTGGTTACCAACTGAGCAATTACCGTAATTTAAAAATAAAAAAGCCAAACCCACTGTCATTGGCTGATTCCAACTTCTAAGGGTTTCCAAGTCTAATATTCATGGAAGCAAATAGCCATATCTTTCTCCTGCACAGCAGCTGGTCCATCAAAATCACTGACCCTTTGGTTTGCAGCTAGGCACCTAACCATGGCACTAGCAGGCCTCCTCCAACTCTACAGCAGTGGTTCTCAACCTCCCTAATCCTTTCATACAGTTCCTCATGTGTTGGTGACCCCCAACCATCAAATTATTTTCGTTGCTACTTCATAACTGTCATTTTGCTACTGTTATAAATAGGGTGACCCCTGTGAAAATGTTATTCGACCCCCAAAGGTGTCTCAACCCACAGGTTGAGAAACACAGCTCTACATCAAGAAAGGCCTAAAAACTCTTCACTGACTCCTCATGATCTTCAAAATAGAGGCCAAACTTCCCCCTGGACCTACAAAGCACCTTCAGACATGGGTAATATTTTAATTTCCAATACAAATTGTGCTTACATGAGTTTCTCTACATCCATAGGAATTTGGGGAACAAGTGACAAGCCTCCAAAATAAAACATTATGAGTGGAGTTCATGGAGGTAAAAAATCCAGTCTTAATTCTCCCACGGACTTTTTTTTCCCACCCCACCCCCCCACGGACTTTTTGACGTCCTTCATATAACCATAAAAAGGACGCCTGTGAACTCTGGTAAATAAGCAGGAATACAAATTGCATATACTTTATATCAGACATTACAAGTACAAAAATGGACACATAAAAAAAGATTTGGGGTGGACGATGGCTTAACGTCCTGGGTAGGATGACAGGATTATGGATAATATTATCCACCCAACTCTCCACACGCGCATTTAGTAGTAGTGTTACTTTTGTAATAATAGCGCTTTCATTATAAATGTTTCATAGTTTCACTAGTAAACACAAAGTCAAAAAAAACCACAAGGTCAAAAGTATCAACTGGATGATACTGGACCAAGGTTGATAGTGATCTTGTCAACAGCGTAATCCACGCAGATTAAGTCAACAGTAATCGCAAACATTGGCTAAGCACGACTATCTCGAGCTGCTATTAATCCCATGTCAGCGGTGAGGAAACGGAGGTGTGGAGATTAAATCGCGCGGGGTCACAGTCTACAAGTCGTCACGCTCCGGATGCCGGTGGCCGACCGCCCGGCGCGCACCCCTCACGCTCACCTGCCAGGGAAGGGACGCCGTCCCAGCCCGCCGACGGAACGCAGGCCCCGTCCGCCTCCACGGCCGGCACGGAAACGTCTTCCGCCCGGTCCTTCGCTTTTCTCGACCGGGTCCGGCACCGTCCCGTCCTGGTCCGTCGCTTTTGAACTTCCGGCATCAGCGAAGGGGGTCGACGCGGAAGTTCCGGTCCCGCGCCGAGAGCCGGGCGTGCTGGCGGTGGATGGAGGCGGCGCGAACTGAGAGGACGTTGGTTTGTTTGTGCTTGTTGGTTGGTTTGTGCTTGTTTGTTGGTTTGCCCATCTGCTCCCCCAAAAGGCCCAGCTTCCACCCCTCCCGATCTTCCCTGTCCCTTATGAAGCGCCCGGCTTTCTAGCATTCACCTATCAACCCGGTTGCTGTCAAGTCGAAGTTTCATCACAGAGCTCCCGGTATGATCCAGATATTGCCAACCCACTCTTTGCCCCAGGTTCCTGTCCCCCCTCCCTGGAACCCCTAATATCTGTCCATGGCCTCAGGGGACTACTTCTGCTAGAACTGCCCTCGCAGAATTCTAGGAAATCCACCCCAAGTCCCTATTTTCTCTACTCCACCCTCGCCTGCCAGGGCCATTCAATCCTCGACGCTTCTATTGCATCGTGTCCACGCCTATGTTCGAAACACTGCCAATATTGTGCTCCAATTATTTACTCACTTCTCTCCTCTGTCACACTGTGAGTTTCTTGGGTCCATAACTGTGCTGTTTTCTTTCCCAGGCACCAAGCAGTGTGCTGACAGAAAGGAATCTCCCAGAATGAACTGGAAACAATTGGAATACCCCCCGGCAGTCTGGTCCGCAACCAATTCTGAATACATCCCGTTAAGAACAATCTTGTCCGGTTTTCTTCCATTACTCGTTAGCATGCCATGAGACTCTTCTTGAAATTATGCTTTGGCGTCTCAGAGTCCAGAGCTCTCATAGTTGCCTGGTTCTTGTACCCTCTTCAGCCTTTCCCTTTTGCTTCTTTCATAGGCTTTCTTATTTCTCCACTCACAGCCTCAAAAGTGGGTTTTTTTCCAAAGCCCAGCCATCACCTTTTATATCTCCAAATAGAAGTTATCTAAAGACAATTTGATAATATCTTTCCCTGAGCTCCAACATATATTTCAGTTGCTTGTTGGCAACTCCAGTTGCATGATAAATCAGTGGCAGGGAAAAAATTTATTTCCTCTTAACTCCTTCTCTTATATTTTGTTTCTAAATGCCCACATTCTCCTATGTGGGAAACACCTTACTATTATTTGCTCTCGGATTTTAACCATATTGAACTTTTATCTACCTTTGATATCTCTCCTACTTTATAAACTCAATGACACCTTGATAGTAATTGCCCTTACACAAGTTATATTTCATCTAATGATTGGCCTACTCTGGACACAACAGTTGCTCTACCTCTACTTTAAGCTGCAGCACCCAGATCTAACCAATATATTCCTTTGGCCTATACTCTAGATAAGAGACAGGATAAGTTTTAGGCCTTTGTGGTGGTTATGTAATTTCATGTCAACTTGATAAATAAGTATAGGGGTGGAGTCTAGCCTGTCAATCAGGGCTCAGCCTGATGATGCCTCTCTGTGGGCGTGGGCTTCTCTTGAGGATTCTGAGAATCATCCTTTCTCTTGATTCTGCCATCAGAAGAGGCGGGGCTCTCTCTCCTCTTTTCTTCCTCTCTCTCTATCTCTCTTTCTGCTTCACCTTCCTGTTGAGGAGCCACAGAGAGCTGGAGGAGCTAGCGCTGAGATGCTTCCACCAGCATTGGATCCACAAGACTTTCCACCCACCGGCCTGTAATCTTCCTGCATTTGGCATCATTGCATGTGCTGCGTGAGTCTGAAGAGGAATTTATGGAATAGTTTTAGACATATGGGCTAATATCAGACTATGGACTTAATCTTAACTGAGCTAGTATGTTTTCCCAATATACAATTGCTCTTTGATATAAAGATCTCTCTTACATACATGAGTGTCTCTGAACCTGACCCTAGTCTGTCTATACTATTCATACTTTAACTTTTCATCCTAACTGGTATTTACTTAAATGACACTCGTTTCTCCTTGCAATGGAACTTAATGTCTTCTCTGTTCAATATCCTTTCCTATCTCCTAGGGTACACAGAATTATATGCCTAGATAACCATTTTGTATGAACAAAGAAGAGGCCTAATGTTAGAATATATATGGATTCTGCAACCATCTGAAGTCTTGATTGGAGATGGAAGATCCATATGCAAAAAGATTCATTCTTAAGGCTGTTGGCAGGAATATTCAGCCAAGTGGATCTGTCAATAGGGCTGCTTGAGTGTCCACACAACATAACAGCTAACTTCTTTTAGAGAGTGAGAGAACCAAGAAAGAAACCACAGGATCTTGTATGATCCAGTCTGGAAGTCACTCACCATCACAGTAGTCCAGCCCACTCTCAAGGAGAAAAGAATTCAGCTCAGTTGTTCGAAGGGAGGGTCACATAATTTGAGATGTATTATAAACCATTGATTCACACTACTGAGAAGTTGCCTGCCTAAAAATGCATTGAAATGGTCTCTTGAAGCCACAGCAGAAGTGCCCAGGTAGAGACAATACTTCATGAGAATGGGATGCCATTTCCAGGGTGCAGTATGCACCTCAAATCAAAGATCTTTTGTCCCCAATGCATGGGACTGATTCCCTAAGGGGTAGAAGTAGGAGTGACTCAACTATTCATCACTCCTAAGAATCCACTTAAGACATTTGTACTTCCTGCCTCACAATTTCAGGCTGAACAATATTCATGTGTTCCCCAAAGAACATCTCCACAAGAGACAAAGCAAATATTCTGTTGAACTTTAAGCTATAGCTGCCACGTGGGCACGTTAGTACCTCAGGTCTAGACAAGAACAGAAGCCACGGTTGTAGTAGGAGAAATTGACCTGATCATAAAGGGGAATTGGGCTGCAGTTAAGCATAATGGGAGCAAGAAGGAAGTTTGGTTTTTTTTAGATCATTGGGGCCTTTTACAACTCTTATACCAACCAACAATCCACACATCAATTGTATCGGCATATTTGTAGATGCGATATGTTGCCATTATTATTTTCTTTCTATTTGAGCCCTGGGTATCAGCTCTTTTTTCCTTCCTTCCCCCACTTTCCCACTCTCATGAACAGGAAGGAAGATTTTTGACAACTAGGTAGTCCATTGTAAAGAATGGAAATTCTAGAACATTTCATTGTGCTCATGCGGAATTTACACATAGACCAAGAGGCAGTCTTGAGAACACAAGAAGATACTGAGTGGTTTAAAATAGGAAAGGTGTACATCAGATTAGGATTGTATCCTTTCACCAGGCTTATTCAATCTGTATGCTGAGCAAATAATCCCAGAAACTAGACTATTTAAAGCTTGGAGGTGGGCTCACTCACGAGATATTTATTCAGATGACACAGCCTTGGAGGCTCAAAGTGGAGAAACCCTGAGACAAAAGTGATGAAGGTCAAAGACTAATACCTTCAGTATGCATCACACCTCAATGCAAAGAAAATAAAAATTCTCAAGTAGAAAAAAAATCATGAAAAAATGGAGAAAAGGGAGGGTATTGTTTATGTCTCCACAGGAAAGGGAGAGAGGGACCAGAGCCCATCCTGGAGCACCAAGCCTTGAGGGCAACATACTGGCATAGAGCAGCGAACTAACAGAGGACGACGGGGCTGGGCCCAAGCTGAGCTACATTGACCCCCTCCCCAGACGAAGGTAATACAGGGGACAGAACTGAAGATATAGCACAGGGAGAGGCAGGGCTGTCCAGACCACACTGGTGTGAGCTAAGAAGGAAAGAGAGAGAGAGTGGACCTCATCATGGCTCACCAAGCCCCAGGGATGACATCCCTGCTCAGAGCAGCCAATGCAAAGGACCATAGGGTCAGCCCACCAGGAGACAGGATGAAGTTACCTCACTGACCCATAGCACTATGGGGGACAGCACTGGAGAAAGTACAGAAAGTGTGCTTGGTCTGTCCTATGCACTAGTCTGTGCCATGCAGGGCCAGTGGGGGGAGAGGGGGTTAAGCAAAGGGAGTGCAACAGGGCAGCAAGGGCAGCAAAGTAACCAACTCCCCAAGGAATCCTGAAAATAGACTTCTGACTCCATCAGACCCAATTAAAAACTCGCATAAGGGTCAGCAGACAGACCTGGAACTAACTATCAGAGCTTTTTTTTTCTTTTGTCCTATGCCTATAAGATAGGCAGTACAAACAATCCTGAGGAGAAAACAATGGGACCTGTGGTCCCAGGGTGAGGGGGGAGTCAGTGGGGGACATGGGGGGGGATGGGGCAGGGAGGAGGAGTGGGGAGTCAACAAACTCAGGGATAAGGGAACAACAAGAGATCTAAGACTGATGGCAAGGAGGCCTAGTGGGGTTTGATCAAGTGCAATGTGTCCAAGAGAAATTACTGAGAGCCTAATAGAGCATGAGCATGATTGTGGAACAGGAGGAAGATGAAAGGAAATAGAGGAAATAAGATATTTATAGAGGTATAGCTATAGGCATGTATATATGTAAATATATTATATATAATGAAAGGGATAGATGCCAATGTACACATTTATGTTAAGTATTAAGATAGCAGACGGACTTTGGGCCTCTACTCAAGGTCTCCCTAAACACAAGAACACTTTGTTCTAATAACCTGGCACTCTTTGATGCTCACCTTCCTGACACAATCACTGAAGACAAAATGGGTGCATAAGCAAATGTGGTGAAGAAAGTGGATGGTGCCCGGCTACCAAAAGATGTAGCATCTGGGGTCTTAAAGGCTTAAACAAGCAGCCATTTTCAGGGAAGCAACAAAGCCCACATGGAAGAAGCCCACCAGCCTGTGTGATCATGAGGTGTCTACGAGATCAGGTATCAAAAGATCCAAAACAGTTATATCAATGTGAAAGAGGGGGGTTGGAGTGGAGACCCAAAACCCATCTGTAGACAGTTGGACATCCCCTCAACACAAGGGTTGCAAGGAAGGGATGATTCAACCAGGGTGCAGTATAGCACCGATGAAACACACATCATTCCTCTAGTTCCTGAATGCTCCCCACCCCCCACTACCATGACCCAGTTCTACCTTACAAATCCAGCCAGACCAGAGTACACACATTGGCACAGATAAGAACTCTCAACTCTCAATGGAATTCAGGACAGATAAAACCCTCAGAAACAGTAGTGGGTGTAGTGCTATCATAAGGGTAGGGGGATGGTGAGGGCGGGGGTGGATGAAAGGGGGGTAAGGGGGAACCCATCACAAGATTGGATATATAGTCCACTCTCCAGGGAGACAAGTAACAGAAATGTGGGTGAAGGGAGATAACTAATAGTATAAGTCATGAAATAACAACAATAGTAAATAATTGATCAAGGATTCATGAGGGTGGAAGGTAGGGAAGTGAGGGGAAAAAGGAGCTGATACCAAGGGCTCAAGTAGAAAATGTTTTGGAAATGTTGATGGCAACATACATACAAATGTGCTTAATACAATTGAATGATGGATTGTCATAAGATTTGTAAGAGACCTCCAATAAAATGACTAAGAAAAATAATTTTTTAATGGCGAAAAGATTGAAGTTGCCAATGATTTTGTCTTGCTTGGATTCACAATCAATGCTTATGGAAGCAGCAGTCAAGAGATCACACGATGTATTGCATTAAATAAATCTGTTGCACAAGAACTTTTTAACGTGTGGGGAAGCAAGAATGTGACTTTGAGGACTAAGGTGCACCTGCCCCAAGCCATAGTATTTTCTATGCATGTGAAAGTTTGACATTGAATAAGGAAGGCCAAAGAAGAACTGATGTGTTTGAACTATGATGCTGGTGAAAAACATTGAAAGAACAAATAAACCCGCCTTCAAAGAAGTACAGCTCGAATGCTCCTTAAAGGCGAGGATGGAGAGGCTTCATCTCACATACTTTGGACATGTTGTCAGAAGAGACCGGTCTCGGGAGAAGAACATCCTGCTTGGTAAAGCAGACGGGCAGTGATAAAAGAGGAAGCCCTTGGCAAGATGGACTGACACAGTTGGCTGCCACAGTGGGCTCACACACGAGAGCAGTTGTGAGAATGGTGTGGAACATGGGGTTGCTGTCAGAACTGACTTGATGGCATCTACTTGACAACAGAGCAGAGGGTCAAAGAAGAGGATGATCCTCAGCCGCATGGATCGACACAATTGCTACAATGGACTCAAACATAGCAATGGCATTGAGGATGATGCAGGGCCAGGCAGTCTTCCTTCTATTGCACATGAGGTTGTTACAACTCGGAACAGATTCACTGGAACCGAACAAAACTGCAAATCTGGCCTGAGAAGGGATTAGTGCCCAGACATCAGATCACTCCAGGGTGTCGCACCACCAGGTAAATCATTGAGATAACTGCTTTTGATGGATTATACTTAACATATTTAACACTGAGCTTATTTCCTACATACACCCAGACCTTTCCTGTGTTCCATGTACTGACCAAGGGTCCACTATCCACCGCTTCATCAAACAATCTGTGCACCACCTGGGGACATAGCCTCTTAACTCCGACCCTAACTAATCTCCAAATCCTGGGGGTTCTATTTTCTAAATTATTTAGAATCATCCACTTCTCTTCATCAACCAATCTGTGCACCACCTGGGGACATAGCCTCTTAACTCCGACCCTAACTAATCTCCAAATCCTGGGGGTTCTATTTTCTAAATTATTTAGAATCATCCACTTCTCTTCATTCCTGTCGCTTCTACGCTAATAGAGGGCACCACTACCTCTAGCTAAGGTGATAACAACAGCCCGAGGTCTCCTCGCCCTTTGTCTCATGTCTATTTCATGCATTCTTCACACAAATCTACTAATGCCGTCCTTCAGCCTAAAATCTTTCAACATTAAAGTTCAAATTCCTTAAAATTGTTTAGTACGTTCTGGCTCCTCTCTGGCCAACACACTTTATTCGTTGCACTGGCCACAATCCACGCCCAGTTCCCAGAACCTAGCATTCTCTATTTTCACTGGGCTTTTGCCCATATTGTTCCCTGTGCCTGGAACATCCCTTTCATTTTTGGGCTAACTCAGATGCATCCTCCGGGTGCCAAGTCAGCCCAGACATGCTCCATCTTCCATAACCCGTGCTTCCGGCAGGCTCCGTCTTCCAGGGCAGCCGCCCCTAACGTTGCCTTCGACAGGCCATCAGTGTCAGACAGTTAAAAGGCTGGAGACGCGGACCAGAGCAGGTCTGGATCCTTCAGACTTCAGTTCCTGCCCAGTAAGAAGCCCACTAAGCTTCCAGCCGGCAGCAAACTACGTGCTTCAAGGGACAGACGCTCCGCAAAGGACCACTGCGCTCCTACGAGAAGCAGGGCCCGCGCGAAGCCCCGCCTTCTACGCTGCGTCGGGGGCGGGATGGGGCGGGGCGTCGGGCGCCAGCGAACAGCGTACGACCGGAGGTGGGGGGGGGGAAGAGGCGGAGCGGAGCGCGCATGCGCGGTCGCCTTTGTGTGGGTCAAGCGGCGGCAGCAGCGGCAGTGGCGGTCTCACTGGCAGGCGGGCTAGAGGGGAGTCCGGGCGGCGTCCGGCGTGGGTGCCGGGGGACCACCATGGTAAAGAAGCGGAAAGGCCGTGTCGTGATCGACTCGGACACTGAAGACAGCGGCAGTGACGAGAACCTGGATCAGGTAAGAGCAGGCCTCGGAGGCGCGGGGCTGGCCGGGCGGGAGCGCTGGGTCGGGGCCACGGGAGCAGGGAGCCGGCCGGGCCCCGGGGCCTTCGGACCCGAGCGCCGGGCCCGCCCCACGTCCTGACCGCCGCTGGCGCCCCCTTCCCCTGTTCCTCGCAGCGCCCAGTTCCTTCGGAGCCCGACCGGGGCCTGGACTCGGAGCCCCGAGGACTTGGCGCCTTGGGCTGGGAGGCGGGGCAGAGACCGTCTGCTGGGCCTTGGGCTGGGAAACGAAGGGGGCCTTGATCTGGTGGGGCCGGGCCCTGCGACAGGCTGCAGGCCAGGCAATCCGAGCCCGGAAAGATAGGAAGTATCGCCCGCCAACCCTGGGGACCGGGAGGTGCTGGAGGAGGTGCAGGGGTGAGTGTGTGGAGGGGGTCAGGGCTGGGGGCAGGGGGCCAGAAGGTGTGGACTCTGGAAAGTGTGATATTTCAGACAAGGGGATGTAGACTGAGGGGGACACACACTCGTAATGTTTCAGGGGACCTCTGCTTGGTGAAAAAGTCTATTCAGCGACTAGGCTCGTTTGTGGTAGAGAGGGGTTCCCGTTGGGATGTCAGATTGAGGAAAACTCTGGGGAGGAGGGAAGATGGCAGATACCGGCAGAACCGGAGAATTAGGTAGGGTGATGGTGGAGGGAGTGTGGCAGAGGACCTCCTCATCCTTATACGGCACCCCAGTATTCTTTCCTATGTGATGTTTGCCAGGAAGCATTGGAAATAACTTTTGTCCGCTGTGTCTTAGAGTTGCTCGAACTGCCTTTAATCTATAGAAAATACTCGTGCTGTCGAGAGAAAAGTGCCCTTTATATCGACACTGTAGTGATACTGGGGGTTACAAAGGGTTTCCCCTCGTGTTTCCTAAGCATTGATATAAAGAAAGGATATACCAGAAGATGGTGGTTTTATAGTTTGACTAAAGAGAGCCTACAAATCAGAGTTCTATGCTGAGCCCTACTGCTTTCTAGAAATGTCCTTTGGCTTTAAGAGTAAAACTGAAAGATACTGTCAACTTTGTTTATCTGGTTAGGCTTTTATAAGGATCAAATGAGTGTAAGAATCGATGTTGGTGCAAGCAATTGCAAATGGTAAAGTTTATATGTAAATGATTCTTGGAGGTCCTTTGTATTAGGCCAGATATTTTAGGATTGCCATACTTATATTAGGGAATTAGAGGAGGAGGAATACTAGAGAGAGCTTGAAGAAAGGGCTGTTTTGAAGATGGTGTGGAGAGGTGAGGAAGTAGGGGTCTATGGAGAAGTATCAAAGGAATAGAAACATTGTTTTATGATGGAAACTGAAAGAGTAACTTGAAAATGTCTCCTTGAACATCTGATATTGACACCATTATAAAAAACATTCTTCAAATGAGGAGCTGATGCCAGGGGCCTTAAGGGGAGAGGAAATGTTTTGAGAATGATGAGAGCAATGAATGTACAAATGTACTTTACACAATTGATGTGTGTATGGATTGTGATAAGAGTTGTAAGAACCCCTAATAAAACGATTTAAAAAAACCCAAAAACAATCTTCTTGACCATAAAAGTTTGGTTGACAGATAATTGCAGATTGGAAGGGGATTTGAATCTATCTTTTATTATCTTGTGATCTAGAATGGTAGCATTTAGAGTTCCTGGCATCGCTAGACATCTTGGCTAAGTGCTTTATTTACGTTACCAAGTTCTTAAGTTATAGTGACGTTTGTATCATTTCCCCCGTTTTACAGATGAGGAAAATGGCTGAAGAAATTAAGTAGCTTTCCCAGGCTTACAGTAAATGGTGGTGGTGGTTGTTAGGTGCCCTTGAGTCTATTCTGACTCATAGCAAGCCTACGTAGGACAGAATGAAACACTACCAGGTCCTGGGCTATCCTCAGTCAGGGTCATAGACGAACCCACCATTGTAGCCATGGTATCAGTCCATCTGGTGAGAGTCTTCCTTTTCTGCACTGCCCCTCCACTGTACCAAGCCTGATGCCCTTTTCCAGGGTCTTGTAGAGTTGGCATTTGAATCCAAACCTATGTTGCTACAAGATTTTTTACAATTCCTGCTTTGCGGCCTTAATCTCTTTTCACATTACAAAATGAGAATAATGCTTCATGGCCATTTTCCAGGGTGCTAGGATGCAGGTTCATGAAGCAATACTCAGTAGGATAGAGGACATTGGTACATCAATTTTAAAGGTTACTAGTGGGATTCTTGGTAAACCACTCTCGGGACATCTGTTCAGATGATGAACTAAGCTGCAAGTTATTCTATCCTGTGGTTCACCACAGGATTGTGATGAATGAAATGAATTGAGAGCTTCCTTTTGTAGTAGAGAGCGTTTACCTGATCCACAAAGAGCTTTTCCCAGTGGAAACTGGAGGTAATTGGCACTTAAAGTCCATTTCTAACTATCTATTTGTAAAAATTAACTAGCTTGAAATTTGTAAGTCATCCCTAATACATTTTAGCAGTCATTTCCGTTTTTAACAACTTTGGTCACTCACTGTCAGTCTCATCACAGGAGCCAGATTGGAAGGCCCTCTGCCTATCCTAACAGACTCCAGTGCCTCTGTCTTTCTGTTCAGCGCTGTGCCAGGCTCTCCATGGAATCAAAGCCTAAGATCTCTGGCCTCTGGAAGTTTTCTGCCTTCAGCAGAAGTTCACAGTCAACCAGGTCTATGGGTCTCTAGGAAGCCTGAGAACAAAACTAATGCCTCTTGAACCTTTTGTGACTAAGATCCCTTGGTCTGCTCCATCCAATTCTGGATCTCCATCAGCGGTCTGGCAGTAGTTTTGTTGTCTGTGTGGGGTTCTTGTAAGAAAACAGAAACTGACAGGTCTCTGAGTGGTTAGCGTTAGAGTGGAGCCCAGTTATTTTGTCCCTGGGTTTTCCAGATGAGTATCTAAATCATGCTGTCAGAAAGATGACCTCTAACATCTTACTGAAAACGTTACAGGTGAACCTGCTAGGATCCACCCCCCACCACCCCCATCTGGTGGTGGTCTGAGGACCCACCTGTCAGAAGCTGCCTGAGTAGCTTATAAAGATGCAGGTTCTAGTTCTGGGGGTTTCCATTCCTGGCTACTGAATCTGACCCCCTGAGGATAGACGTTGGGTTCTGCATTTTTAACAGGTTCTTTAGGATTTAATTAGGATTCTTTTTTTAATTATAGAGACCATTGTTCATATTTCATTGTTTTTTAGTATGACTTTAAGTAGTTTGGGATAGAAGTAGCTCCCTATCCTTTAAAGTGCTCAGGTATAATCAAAGCACTTGACAGGGATGTTTCTAAATCTTTGAGGCTATTTGAGTTGTTGGGAGATTTCTTGAGGCCTGCTTCCCACCCCTGCCCCTCACCCCAATAGTAGCTGAAACAGTGTAGCTTGAAATTGGTTTTCAGTCTCAGAGATTTAAAAAGCTCAGACCTTAGTTTGAGAACTTGAAGAGTTTTTTTTTTTTTAAACATTACCTAATGGTGATCATATTCTTATGCTCTTTACACTCTTTCCCCCACTCGATACTTTTAATAGCAAATCATAAAGATTATTGCTATTTACTTGTGGGAAAAAAAGAAAATTCGAAGAAACTCTTGGCCTTTTATCTCATCATCTAACTGCAGTGAGATAATGGTGCTTAATCCACTGTACCGCTGGGGTTCTATATGCACACTAAGCTGCTTTATTTCCTAGTTTGTTTTCTTATTCAAAATAGTGGTTCTATCTTGTATTTCTTGGCTCATCCAACTTGAAGTAGCAATAATGTATATTTGTATTTGAGAGAATAAGCTCCCTAATTATTTTCTAGGAATTATCGTTAAATATTATACATGAAAAATATAATTGTTACAAAGTATCCCTCCTGATCTAATATGTAAACTCCCATCTAATTCACAAATAAGAGCTTTAAAAAAAATAATAAAGTATCCTTCCAGAAACCTACCTGAGAGTAGGAATATTTAAAAGTTGGGCTTTTCACTAAAATAGCCCCCTTCATATTATTTGGAGGCAGAGCTCCAAGTTCAGGGTGAAGTTGTAAGTAGTGTCAATGTTATTTTGAGACGTTTTAAATTTGCGTCTTCATTTTCATTTAGTTAGATGGGAAGCGTTTGATAATGTCACTTGACGATGTTCTCTCTCTGTCTCTCTCTGTCTCTGTCTCTCTCTCTCTCTCTCTCTCTCTCTCACACACACACACACACACACACACACATAGAAAAGTGGGCCCTGTGAGAGCTTAGGAAAACTACAAAGCTTATCTTGAGCCTTGGGTTTTGTTGGTATACTTACTGTTCCTTCCTAGAGATTAGTTTCCATTTTTAACAAATGTATCAGATAGTGCTAGCCTCTGGGCTGTCTGGAGAACAAAGGAGTAGCAGCCCTTGCCACCTTCAGAGAGCTTAGAGTCTCACAAGAAACAAGTAAGTCAGCTTTGCTCAGGCCTGCAGGCTGTGAAGGAAGAGCCAGGTCCAGCTCCGCTGGAGGGAGTGGGAAACTGGGAAGATGTGTTGGAGAAAGGAGGTTAGGAGACTGGAGGGTCAAGGGAAGAAAGTTGAGTGGTTATGGTTGAGGAGTCCCTAAGTACAAAAGGGTTGAGACAGGAAGCTCAGAGTGATGACAGGGCTATAATTGATTGAAAACAAACTGTCATTGGGTCGATTCTGACTCATCGCAACCCTATATGACAGAGTAGAACTGCCCCATGGGTTTCTGAGACTGTAAATCTCTCTCTCTTTTTTACTGTAAATCTTTATGAGTAAAAAGCCTTATCTCTCGTAGGTTGAGTGGCTAGTGCTTGTGAACCTTACTCAAAAGCCCGCTATGCCAGAGCTGCAGAGTGGACACATTCAACCCTTGAGGTTGGTTAGTCATTTTAGTGTATTCAAAACAAGCATTAAAGATGAAACAGATCGAATTGAATAGGAAGCATCAAGTCTGTCATAAAATACGTGTTAAGAACTTTGTGCTTCATAT